TCTTATGTGTGAATCTAACTCTAAGTATTTATGTAAGTATTTTTCAATATAATGGCACTGTCTTTTGCATTTCAAATGATTGCTTGTAAATATAGTTTGTATTTTCAAATTACAGATTACTTGTATTTTAATTAAATGCGTTTGTCACACCAGTATTTTGTATCTTCTATTAAATACATTTGATGAGCAAGTATTTGTTATTTGTAACAAAATATTTTTGATGTAATTGTGCCCATCTCTGGGAGTTTAATTCCTGCAGCTGTGTCATAGACAAAGTTATACGGACAGGCCCTGGACTAACCTATTCTTTCAGAGAGTCAGGGCATTTTAAGAGAGCACATTTCATAACTGCCTCAGCTCATGCTACTGTAAAGATCCATGCAAATGTGACAAAAATAAATAAAAAATGCATAAATAAATAAACTTTTATTTATACGTAGGCATTAGTATGTAACAATTACAAGCACAAAACTGACATTCTGTACGTTTTGATTGATGCTGAAATGTATAATATAATATAATATAAAAGTCATGCATTTCTCATTCAAACGTACATTATCACAAACACAACAAATGTATAAATGTCAAAGTTTTTTTATGTTTCAATTTTGGAATTTGTAATGAGCACTGGATTTCACATTTATGGTAGCTTCTTCAGTGATGAACATGTTTTTTGTTTGTTAGTTTGTTATTTAGTTAGTTAGTTAGCTTGTTTCTTTCTTTCTTTCAATTTCTGAGTTTAAATGTATTTTGACATTTTGGGAGGCCATACATTCACCAAAAATGTCGAGGTGAAATTACTTTCCTGATCAGGGCCAAAATTGCAATTACTTTTCAGGCCAACCTCAAGCCTGGGCTAAGGTCAAAGAGTCCAGCTGACCCCCTTTTCCACAGCCCTGTCCTGAAATCATAATGAAGGGAAAAAAAACATGCCTTGTTAAAAAAATTTAATTCTTAAAGTGAAAAACCACATGATCCTTTTTATTATTAGCTCTAAGAGATATTATAAATATTTGAAAAACACTTATCTGTCATATAAAAGTAATATTGTCCAACCTTGAAAAAACATTTTTAGAGTTATTCAATTTAAACTTTTGTTGAAAATGCTATAAAAGTTTATCAAAACCATATGAAACCAACATGTATACTAATGGGACATTTATAAGATATTTGGACACTCTTAAGTAATGTCTCTGTTATGATAGAATATCTGTTTTCCAAACCAGTGTCTCAGACGATAATCAAAGAAACACCCTGGATGCTCACAGAGTTAACACACAAACAAGCCACCTCAACACAGGGAGAACATTCAAACTCCACAAAGACACGCTTAGCCGGATCCTACAGGTGAAGTTGAGTCAGAGAAAGAAGCCACCCTAAAGATGTGACAGTTCATCCTACCCATGACAACAATAAGCGAAGCCAACATGTCCTCAAATCACAGGCTAATAAAGCCTGAATCACTTTTGGCTCCAGCCCCAAGCAACAGGTCTGGCAAGCGTCTATTAAAATCAAATTAATGGTTTACATAGAAGTGCTTTATCTAAAGCATTTCCATAGCAAAGCAATACTGCAACAAAAAGCTCTGTTCCAACTGATAAAATATCCAACTTTTCTTTTGAAAGATCTGCCGGTGTGTCCTGTTGCCGTTGCTTTAAAGCAGCCCTCACTTTTTAATGAGAAAATGTGATTCTATCGCAGGTAATTAAAAATTGTCCAATCTGATTCATCCCAGACAATGGCATTGACTAAATTAAAAACTAAAAGGGGAGCCGTGCAAATATTGTACAGGTGACTGGCAGCACTAAGGGAAGTGGATACGTTCAAATAAACAAACCTTGTGGCGCATGGAACTCGGTAAAGCACTAATTTAAAAGGTGCTGAAAATAGAGTCAAACATGACAATGAAAATGGTACCAGGTTTGTAAAAACCCACACTTACTCATTGTCCATTTCAAACTGTTACCCAATTACCTTGCTGGAGTTGGGAGAAGTGAAAAGCTTGGACCAAACGAGCACATCAAAACATGATACCCTGTCCAATGTTTCATTTTATGGACTAATAATAGTTTTGTTTTAATAGTATATGGGTTCTCTCAATGCTGGTATCTCTCTGCATCAGAGCATTTTAATAATGGAGAATAGCCTGATTAAAATGTCCTGATTTCCCCATGACATGTTCATGCATTAAGATGGCTTCGGTGTTTAATTTGAAGGGAGTGCCAGTACTGCAGTCGACTCACAGCGCTGTTAAATTAAATGCTTGCGGGTGATACTAAAGCAGTGCTCACATTTTCTGTGAGTTCAACAGGTAAATGACAAAGTGTAAGCTCTTATTTCTAGCACACAAACTCACACACTTTGTTTTGTTCAGTGAAAATCAAACATTGATCTTGGGAGGTCTCCAGCAACCTTGTAGGATTCTGGCTTTTGATTCATTGCAGGCTTCAGCTTAATGCTCCTAAAGGGCGATGTTAATGCAGTGTGGGAGATGTCATATTTGTTGTGTGTCGGAATGTACGTTTTGTTCCCTGAACTCTTTATGTTTTGTCATTTACTGTAAATGCTCTTGGCAATATGGTCGGTCTTGCATATTTGGTTTAGCCTGACTTTAGCCTGCTTTATTGCAGGGTCATATATGTAAAAGTTCCACTTGACTAAATTTGTTGAATTGGAAAGCTATGAAATTTCATCAAATGCTGACAACACTTTAGTTGCACAGATAATGGGTTTGCAGTATCATATATCATACACACACACACACATATATATATATATATATATATATATATATACAGTATATATATATATATATATATATACACATATATATATATATATATATATATATATATATATATATATATATATATATATAGAGTGATGAGGTTTAATCTGAAAATAAAAGATAAAACATCCTGTGAAGTTATACAGTACATCGATGTGAAGTTGTTACCTTAGCAAATGCATCATGATTTTAAATCTAACTTATAATGAAGTTCCTGTAAAAAAAACTATTCTATTAAGATGTCTGAATACCTTTTCAGGGAACTAGCTGATGACAGTAATGTACCCTTTGAGACCTAGTCTTGTGTAGCCAGAACATTTATTAATGGCACAAGGTGTGAGCTCTATAGCTACTTCAACTGATTGCATATTATTGTAGCACAGTTTGTGCTGACTACAGTGTAATCAGATTTTAGCCATTAATATGTTTATAATAAACTGAAAAAAAGCACAAATGTCAGGGCATGTCAACACCTCTCCAGGGCCCAAAAACACTCTCAGACCCAAATAATAGCACAGCAATCTCCATTTAAAAACACCAAAGTAATTAATTGGAGGTGTTTGCAAGGTTTGTTCTAAAAATTGTAACACATGTAAAATGAATAAACACTAATTATTTAAATGGTGTGCACTTCGTCAACACCCATCAGACACTCTCAGTATACATCTGTTTGGAGCACGTCTCTCCACTTTTTAGAGCCCACAACCAGTTCAGGTGATCACAATACTAAATTGGCCCTGAATAAGCCTCAAGAGTATCTAAATCTTTAGTTTCAACCAGTGGCACAAGTAATGAACTAGTGATGCACCAAAATGAATTTTTTGCCAAAACAATAAAAATAAAGTTGACAGTATTTAACAATCAATTTATTAATCAAATTTGTTTAATAATCAACACTCAAATAAAAATGTTGTAATTTAAATAGCACATAAGGCCGTTTTATATTATATTAGTTTTATATATTACTAATGATATAAAATGAATGATTTAATGAAAACAAATACAATGAATATGTAAAATAACCCATATTAAATATAGTATATGAATTTATCATAATGCTTCTCTCTCTACTTATTTCTTGTAGCTAACGAGCTATGGACATTGAATGGCTTTCCTGAGGTAGCTAAATACGTGACACATTGTTTATTACAAGCTGTGCGTTGACATATTTCTGATGAAACACTGAGTGAGCGATTTCATGATCATGAAACATTTCAGTAAGTTGTACTGTCTCACTCAACATACCTTCTGTTGTTCATTCATGTGTATTTCACACAGTAACTAATAAAGAGAAGGAGTCGATTGGTTCATGTGTGTTCCGCTTGAACTGAGGCACCTACAGTGATCTATCATACATTAACGAGCGAAAACGATATTTCAATAATTGATTGTCAAATTGAGTGATAACATTCGAAGAGGGTGAACCAGTCCTGGCTTCCACAGATCTGACATGTTTACCTGTGAATCCATGTTGTGTGCACAAAATAGAGAGTGACACAGTCAAAAGGCACAATCAGAGAAGTGACATCTACCGCACGCATGATAGACCTATAGAAAAAAATATTTGAATCTTTTTCTTTTCTAAGAATGGCTTAACTTGAAGTGCTGTAAAAAAAAATTTGGAAAAAAATATTATTTTAAGGTACTTTATGATTTGTTGCCATACGGCAACAGCATACAATAGTGGAGCTATCTTAGAATATGTGTAAGCTTACTTATAATTAATATTTTTCCTCAGAAATGTTGTTTGTGTTGATTCAATTGGTGCTATTATAAGCTTTAACACAGTTCTTACTTATAATTGGCACCTTATACATACTTTCCAAGAACTTGTGCTTTTATTTATTCTTTTTTGCTGAATAATGATTTATATTTGTTTTAATTTCATTACATTTTTCATGAATATTATTTAAATATTTGCCACTTGGCAACACAAACATTTGAATGATTTACCAAAAACATGTCATCATAACATCATAACAGTGATGTTTTAGATTTTTTTGTAGAAGTGACACAGACTGGTCCTTGTTTGTTACTGACGTTTTAGTTTTTTTTTACTTTCAGCAACTACAGACAAGAGACAGCAGTCTGTCAGAATGCCACAGAAAAAAACTGCATGTCATGTGACTTAATCAAAGCACATCATTGGCTAAACTAAGGTCTTCTCTTTCCAACAAAAAAATGAGAATGTTCTCTTAAAGAGACAGTGGCAAGGAAATGAACACAAAGAGTATGCTGCCATATGGCTACACCATGCGGTAGAGGGTTAAACATCACTGTTTCAGTCAATGATTTCAGCCAACCAAAACTATTTAGGACAAAACCCTAATTTTGCTGTTTCGCCTGAATACTTTCAGTTGGCAAAATTTAGGTGCATCACTCTCTGGAAAACAACCATAATACATATTATATATCTATATTTCCACTAATCTTTCATATTCATGTTTCATATTGCTCTTAAATAGTTTATTTGAGCAATGGTTTCTTTGAGTTCTTATATTGTCTTATCTTTCACTCCCCAATGTTATATTTCTATTTTTCTCTTTATCTTGCTGGCAGGTGACAGCTTCCTTCCATAATTCCCATACCTTTTATTGAATTGACAAGTCTTTCTTTATCTTCAAGTAATGACATGGAAAGCTTTCAAACATAAAGCAGATAATGGTTGATATTGATCAAGTCAAGTCAAGTCACCTTTATTTATATAGCGCTTTTAACAATACAGATTGTGTCAAAGCAACTGAACAGCATTAATTAGGAAAATAGTGTCAATAATGCAAAATGACAATAGTAAACACTAATTTTTCAGTTAAAGACAGTTCATCATTGAATTCAGTGATGTCAACATCCAGCTCAGTTTAAATAATATCTTTGCAATCATGTCAACGATATCACTGGAAAAGAAGTGTCCCCAACTAAGCAAGCCAGAGGCGACAAGGAACCAAAACTCCATCGGTGACAGAATGGAGAAAAAACCTTGGGAGAAACCAGGCTCAGTCGGGGGGCCAGTTCTCCTCTGACCAGACGAACCAGCAGAACGGAAAAATCAATATAAGACGTAATAAAACAGACGACGAATAATATTAACAGCAATTATTATATGATGCAATCAAACTTATAACCATTCACCATCACAGCTCTACAGTACAAACAGAAGACTCAAGAGCAATTTGATGAAGTACCTTTGCTTTAACCTAAAACTCTTTTGTTTGAATTTACTGTGGGTATGGGCAGCCGTTTTGCCAAAATGAGCATTTAGCTGCAATGTTACTTTAAACATTTGACAAGGCTTTTGAAGAAGTCTCAGAGGTTTCGCCTCTCTTACATTGACATCCTGTCCGCTTGAAATCGCTGCTTTATTTTAGTCAGCCTCGTCTTCATCTAGACAGCAGAGGAACACGTAAAAGGTCCCTGATCACATGGCATCATAAGCTGTCATAGGAATGGAAGAGCAGAGGATATGATTATTGTGAGATGGGTGCCAATAAAAGCCACTTAGTGTGTGTGTGTGTGTGTGTGTGTGTGTGTGTGTGTGTGTGTGTGTGCTTGTTTTTGTGACAAATGAGGACATACATTTGTATAATGACAAAGGTATGGCATAGGTATTACAAGGAGAAGGTGACTTTTCAGGACATTACCCCATGTCCCCACTTTTCAAAACGCTTATAAATCACACAAAATGGAGTGTTTTGAAAATCTGAAATAGCTCAAAGTTTCCTGTAAGGGGTAGGTTTAGGGGTAGGGTTGGTGTAGGGCAATAGAATATACGGTCTGTACAGTATAAAAACCATTACGCCTATGGGATGTCCCCACTTTTCACAAAAACAAACCTGTGTGTGTGTAAATTGCTCACTGTATGGAAAAGAGCAGCAGGGACATCTTGCTTAATATCTTATGGCCTGCAGAAAAATTAAAATGAGTTTTACATGACATGAGACCAAGTAAATGATGACAGACTTTTCATTTTGGGCTGAATTGTCCCATTTATTCATTCAGTTCTTCCACATTCTCCCTCTCAAACTTTCATTGTCCTCATCTCTCTCATTTTCCTTGCAGCTCTGTCAAACTCTCTCATCAACCCTTTTCCACCCACACTGCTCTCTCTCTCTCTCACACACACACACACACAGGCCATTATGTTAAAAATGTGGTCCATTAGATGGCAGACAATGCAATCAGTTGATTAAAAGCAGTTTCGACCACCAGTATCAATCAGTCTCAGCATGGAGAGCCCCAGAGGCTGTTGTTTGATTTGGTAGAGTCCCGGTGACCCTCGCAATGACCCATGTCATGTGACTTGGACAGGTGTCTCTCCATCAGACTGTTCAAGGGCTGCCCTGAACCATGCTATGAATTCCTGCAAAACACAGGTTCAGCACCTCGTGCTCTTTCAGTGCTGCCATCAGACCTCTGCATATTTCTGTTTGATATCTGATATTCTAATCTTAATGTCATAATGAAACAGAATTGCTAAACTTTTACAGCAAATTAAGCCAAAGACAAAAAATTCACATCAACAGATTCATTTTAGCATTATTAACACTTATAAACAAAAATTCCTATAGCTGGTACAATCTCCGATTAGTTACAGTAATTTCATAACATGAACACACAACATCTATGACCACAGAAATCGTCCCAGGTTACGTATGTAACCATGGTTCCCCGAGGGAACGAGATGCTGCGTCGGAAAATGCTAGGGGAATGCCTTCAATGATACCAAGCTCTGAATCATATGTGTAATCAGTCGAACGATGGGCGAGACGTCCGCGGCGGGTGACGTCATGACCAGGAAGCTTTAAAAGCACGTGAGGTGCTGCCGGCGCTAGCTTCTTAGGAGTGAAGCAAGCTCTGGTAGGGATGCCCCAAGTATGGCCTTGCGACGCAGCGTCTCGTTCCCTCGGGGAACCATGGTTACATACGTAACCTGGGACGTTCCCCTTCGGGAACTCGAGCTGCGTCGGAAAACGCTAGGGGAACGAGATGTCCTGGTGTGAAAGGGCATGGCTATGGCAAGAGAACAGAGGAGCCTGGAGTGGCTCGCAAATCTAGGTCATAGAACCTGACGAAAGTGAGGGGCGTAGACCATCCTGCAGCGTTGCAGATGTCCTGCATAGGAACTCCTGCCAGAAAGGCCTTGGAGGCCGCCACACTTCTTGTCGAGTGAGCCTTGACCCCCAATGGTGAGGGGAGATCAGAGGACTCATAGGCAACAGTAATGGCATCAACTATCCACCGGCTGAGGGTCTGCTTGGAAGCAGGATGACCTCTCTTAGGGCGACCATAGCACACAAGCAGTTGGTACGCCTTTCTCCACTGGGCAGCTCTGTGGACGTAAGCGTCCAGTGCTCGCACTGGACACATACAATTAAGCCTCTGCTGGTC